GAAGCAGACGCAACAAAGGGGACAAGAAGAGCCAGAAAAGAAGGAGCAGGAGTAAATGGTACAGGAAGAGGAATGTCGATATTGAGACATACAGTACTTAGTGGATCAGCAATTCATGCTCTGTGGCTCTTTATGAAAAATTTAGGTTATCTGAACTCATGTCTGAATCCCTTTCTTTACTATTGAAAAATCACAGAGATGAGAAAGGTAGTAAAGGACACATCCAGGACGTTTTGTTGTTGTTAGTGATTCAAGGTTGCCTGTATTTATGTGGAAAAACTTCCGTGTCCTTAAAGAAAGAATTTCTTGCGAATTATTCATATTCAAAAAACGTTTCAATATCATAAAGGAATCATTCAATGCTGACATGCAATTGCACTTACCGAGTCGAAAATTCTATTGAAATATGAGGAGGAATACAAATTTCTTTTTCTTTTTCATGTTCTCTTTACAGGAAGGAGAATAATAAGAAGAGGAAGACATAACATCAATTACTTTTGATTCTTTGCCATTAAATATAATGAGATATTGTGTGAGATTTGATTATTTCTATCTATTTTGAACGGGTTTCTAATATTTGTCTAAAGATCGCCCATAAATAAACAAAATTAATAAGTAAACGTTAAGTATGGACCTGTCTTTACTCGATATGCCCTGTTCTCTCCTACGTTTATCTAATAACTCGCATATTAACTGAACAAACCGTTTTCAGCGAAGTGCGAAGCAACATTGTCGAATAAAACCTTAAAAGAGTCTACCCCGTAAATTTGTGCGGTCCCCTTAGTCCTCCAGCTGGCGGTGCTTTTAAACAACGAAGGTTATAATTTTGTTTCCTTTTTCACCGCCTCAGTTATTGCTGACTTCTCTATACATACAGTCACAGTGAACCACTGCTTTCTTTTGCATTTTTGGCCTCTTTCAACTGACGTTTCCCCACAGTCAGGAGGAAAAACCTCAAGATGAATATGTCTAACCTTTATTTTAAAATGCGTCATGCTTGAATATCAAATAAGACCACATTAAATATCTAACAAATTGGCTGATTGGTAATTAAATGGCTTATATTTTGGTGTTAGTAAATTGGAGAATAATCAAAGTGCTCTGTGAGCAAACTCGTGAATTGACAGATGACTTACATGATTTTTTGGATTATGTCTAATGTTATCTGGTTCAGGGAATTTTGTGGTTGATTGTCATATTTAGAGTACGAGCAGTAGCTCAGTGTTCGCTAATGTACCGAAGAAACAAGTAACGTTGGGATAAGAAAGCATTACAATTGAAATGATCATGCTATTACATTTAACATGGGTGGATGATTTCATGTGTTTTTTAAACATATATCATTTTTGTTTCTGGTTCAAAAGAAAAGGGTGAACGTAAATGTGGGTGAAAAGTGAAATTTACTGTCTATCATTGTAAATAATGGAAAATCAAGGCAATGCTGTCTTAATGAAAACATTAATGATTCCCTCTTTATCAAATTAGATAAACAGGAACGAGTTTTGAGTGGTATAACTAAGTCCAGACTGCCACCGTCATTTTGGATTTCCGCAGGGGTAGATTTTGGTCACGTGCTAGGCAACATATAATCAAGAACAGGATAGAATTTAATTTCAGGCCTATTTATCAATTTTGTGGTGTATAACTTTTGCATTTTAGTACGTAATATGAATTTTTAATCTTCAAATTGTCTTGAAATTTAAAAGAAAATTGTTCTTTAAAAATTCACTAAAAATCGGTAGCCAAAATTATTTGTCAAGGCGTTATTTGATTTTCGTGTTAACCTGTAATTTCGTCAGTCGCCGGCACCGTTTGTTGCTTCACACAGAAAAATCACACGATACGAAATGTAATGATCGATTTTGTTACCAATCTCACGCCATAACAGAGAAAGCTTTTGAACACCTGTAAACTCCAAACTCTTCGGAGTAAGTGATATTTTTAATGAATCTTCGGATTGTTTTCAAGTTCAAGGATTGTAAATTACAATGTTATGAAAAACGAAGGTTGTTCTCTTATTTCAGTGTGAATCGTAGCACGCCTGCCAGTCGTTGGCGCCGCTTGTGGAAACAAAAACGAAAAAAAATAAACTCTTTTAAGATTATCATGGGCTTCTTTTTCACCCCACCACTATTCTTAGCAACAAAGGTCGCCATTTCGTTTGTTTGTTACTCGCACTTTTTCGGTTAAGTTGACGCCCCCGAGATTAGTTCTTTTTATACAGAAAATTACAGTTAGCGTTTCTGTTCAAGATAAGACCCCGTGTGATCAAGATCGTTTTTGAATAGAAGACAAGTTAGACTGTAATTCTCGATAAAGTAATCAAGACCCGCGAGCGTTGGTAAGCAATAATTTGTTTTGTGATTATGTCATCTAGCTTGTAGTCGTTACTCAAAGCGAAACTTATCGCTCGTTTTTTACCTTTCTTTTGGTTCTTTTAATTGCCACGTGCTCGTTTCCAAAATCGAGATTATTCTTATGATCACAATACTTAGGTGATTTCTTTACGTAATAATATCAGTTGACTGCTTCGATATAATAACGCCCCAAGGAATAGGAAAAGGAATAAAGAAAGAAAAGATCCTATTTGGTTTGGTGTTTATCGCATGCGCGTGTATCAACCCAAGAATCGAATTTCCAACTCTAGCTTGAAAAGAAACATTTACAATTATTGACACACTTTAGTTATTGTTGTGTATGTGCTGGTGTTTGGTAGCCAGCCAAGACCTTTCAAGTTTATTTATATTTCCTTCATTGACATTAATTTTACAAGATGTGGATAGGAAAATGATCCATTTTCCAATGATGCCTTTTCTGAAATGTTTGCATTATCACGATAAGTTGCGGTGTTAATCGCCCTATTGGAAGTTTATCAATTTATTATTTCTTAACTATTCATCGAGGTGGATTTAACTAATGGTGGATATTTACCAAGCTGCGAAGCGGAAATGTAAATATTCACCTCTGGCCACCGGCACTAGATGAACATTTGTTTTTGGATATAATTTAATACTATGAGATAAAATAATACAAAAAGATGATTTTGAATAATTTATTCCTACAATCACAACATTTTCGGGCGCAAATTCCGTGGAGGTGAATGGAGAAGGATGTGCGGAGTTACGTTTTAATGATTACTTTTGGGTTCTTTATATTCATTTTGATTGGATGGAAATATGTCAGATTTTCGGGAGATTCAAATAATGAAAATATTTAAATTTAATTTCGAGTGAAGAAATTTCAAAACCCTATCTAAACGATAAATACTTCCTAAAAAGCATATTGAACAGTCAAAAAGTAAATACCGAAAAAAAGGAAAAAACCAAATACGACGATCGTGGTTTTATTTCACTTTCATTTAAAGGACACTCCCTGTCTCAGAAAAAACCTGTTGTCTTAGCCCAGCCTTGAAGTGGGAAAGAAATCTGAAGTTTAGAATCATCCAATAATATTCAGTAAAACAAGATTGAGGGGCATATGAAAAGTCATTTACACAAATTCTGAGTAAAACAAGTCATGGAATAACCGCTTGTGGCACTCTGGATTCAAAGACCAGAAGGTCAGGGACTCAGAATTTATGAGCACTACTTGTTTTCTATCAGATGGATTAATGATGAAGTAGGCCACGCGGGAATGCCCTCGTTTATTTTGTCAAAGGCTTTGCTTGTGTCAAGAAACACAACGACGGACAGTAAAAAAAAATAACTGCCGTTGTCTATTTCTCTAAATTTTCAATTTTATTTCGCAGTACCTCTCACGATGAAGGTTGAAACAATAGGTTAGGCAATGTTAGCGTTATATGTAAGTGCTCGTGACAAAAACCAAAATTGAAAAATGACTGAATAAGAATCCATTATTATATTGGCTCAACTGCGTTTCTCGAAAACGCCATCTATTGCTTGATTAAACTCGACATATTTGCTGCCGTAGTGCACCAGAAAGGCACGGTTAGTATCAACAATATTCAAACACAATATCCCGAGTCGCCGAAATGTTTGAAAGTGTGGAGATAAAAAGTAAAAAACAATGCTTCCTTGGTACTTTGAATATCTCCCTTAGGCCAACTTCTGCTCTAAGAATCATCACAATGGGGTCATTTATGTTTCAAACTTCTAAAACACTTTTCTCAGACAATGATTAGAAGCAGTAACGTGAAATAACAATCAGCTTAATACCGTCCATCTAATCAACAAATTGGAGTAGAGAACTCGATTGAAAAGGTCGGTGAGTCAGTCGCTGTCTACAAAAAAGATAAAATGTATTGGTTCTGTAATGCTTTGAAAATATGCTACTTCTGGTTGCTAAGCGAGCGTAAGCTGGGGATAGAAAATACTTACACTAATCAGAACTAACGCAGTGCTACTGGATTTTCGTCAATCTTACTCTTTGAAGGAGCCTAAATGTCATTTTAGTTAATGGTGTCCTTCAAATTAGATCCAGACCAGCAATTTTTTCTGCAATGAATGGAGTAAACGAAACGAGTTTAGCTTATGTAAGTTTATTAAAGCATTTAAGGAGTGCTTTACAACAAATTAATTATTCTTAATTAGATTAAGAAATATTATTTATACTAGGAACAACACTCACAAATTTACGCAGCATTTCTTACTTGATCAGTTTTAAAAATTATCTCAACAGCAATTTCTTTTATTTTTTTGGTTTTTTTTTTCTGTCTCTATCAGAGTACAGTCAATAATAACAACAAAGCACTGACAAGTGCACTAAGTGAATAAACGGTAAACTAAGAAATGCAAAAGTCAAGTAAACTAACAAGTTTTTCTTTCAAGGAAATTCCACATAACCTCCATTCATAAACTAGGAAAATGGTTATCATCACTACCAAAGCATTACTAAAGTAAAAGTACGATAAAAACTACATCTTAAAATCAAATCTATGAAATATTGAGGCTGAAGTTCTCGAAATCTAAACTACAAATTACCACAGAGTGTTATAAGACTACAACCATGGAGGTTCAGCAATTTTGCTTTAAGCCTCAGTCCTACACAAGAAGAGTTGCTTCAGATGACTCCTTGTCTTCGTCATTTCCATTCTCTTCTGTATCCGCAGCAGTAAGGTCATTACCATCATACTCTTGTGCGCCAACCTCTCCGTCAAGAAGGTTTACAGCATCACTTTGGTCGTCCAAATAGTTTCCAAGATCGTCTTGTTCATCCTTCGTGTACTCTAATTGGCAATTCCTGGGTTCTTCTTCTACTACCTCCTTTTCAGATTTAACTGCTACAGCACCCTCATAACCAACGTTATTTTCATGTTCACTTATTACACCTTCTTCGTCATCGGTTTGAATTTCTGGAGGGAAGATAGAATCACTGAGGTCCTCTTTTTCGATCAGAGGATTGTATTCTAAAGAATCAATATCCTCTTCCTCGATTTCACAAGGGAATCGTGAGGCATCAGGCTTGTTCACCTCAGTTGCGGAGCGTGCTAAAGAGTTAGGACCTTCTTTTTCAGTAACAGAAAGGCATCCTGTGGCCTCCAAATCTTCTTCCCCAGTTACAGAGAAGCATGCTGAGTTATTGGAATCTTCTTCTTCAACCACAAGGGGGCATGCTAAAGAATCAGAATTTTCTTTGTCAATCAAAGGGGGACATGCTGAGGCATCTAGACCGTTTTCGTCCATCACCAGGGAGGATGGTAAATGATCGATGTCTTCTTCCTTAATGGCAAGAGGGCACTCGGAGTCAACAATTTCTTCTTCCTCGTTCTCGCTAAGGGATGGTAAAGTATCACTCTCCAAAGGGTACGCTAAGGCATCCATATCTTTCTTATCACTCTCAAAAGGGTATGCTAGGCAACCTTCTTCTCCTGCTTTGATTCCGAGAGGGATAGCTGTAGCACCATCATCAATTCCAACCACAAAGGGATGTGCTGTAGCACCGTGCTTACCCACTTCATGGGCGAGATTTGTTGCAGCTGCCCCTTTGTCTTCTAAGTTAGTAGTTAAGGGGGAAGCTGTAGTACCATCGTCAATTGCAACCACAGCGTTCAGCTGATCCATCTCAACTTCGTCTTCCCCTTCACTGAATAATTGCAGATGAAAACAAGACTTTAACTATCTGTGTTACTGGTCTATCTTTTCCTTCTTTGAACCTGGTTTAACGTAACGTGGTAAAGATATCCTCTATATATTCAGTTCAATTTTCATTTCCGAGTGCTTCAGAAAATTATCACTTGTGAAATTTGGATACCAATTTACAGAACCTGTTTTTTCGACGCATCGACCTAGAGAGGAGATTTTAATGAAAAAAAAAGATTGAATAAACCTGGCATGAAGACAACCTAGCGCTTACTGTGTTTCTCGGCATTTTACGTCATATAAAATATAGTGCCTCCTACGCGAGAAATGTAATACTAACCAAAACCATCGGAAGTATTGTTTGCAATCGATATATCGAGTGGTATTTTAAATTGGTCTACAAGACTCCGAGTGTATTTTAACTGTAGTTTCTGTAACAAAGAGTGACGAAGGGTCAAAGCTTTTCTTCTTTTTACAAATATGCCACCCACAATTCAGCATACTGGTAACAAAAAAAAAGGTACTAAACAAGGTGTCAAAACAAGTGAAGGACGGACGAATCCAAAACAGAAAGAATGTTAGTAAACATAGACTGCAATTTGATAGGAACGGCTTAGAAAACTGCCGTTGCTTCGAAAGGAAAAACCTTTTATTTTGGCCCATGTGCTGGTAAATTTAATCGGTCCAAACTGAAACAAAGACGTATTTGCTTAGCAATGGCGCTTATCACGACTCTACTTATTCAAGAGTTAGAAACTTCGGAACTAACCACACGTTCAAACAGTGAGCATTAAAAAAGAGAAAATTCACTTACTTCAGCCAAGGTGGCACCTCAGGTGGGGCTATTATCAAAGGATATGTGGAAAGAGATGAAAGAAATCGCTTCGTTGTGAGTAAGAATGACATCACTAATTAAGTTAAAGCTTGCGACTCAGAAACCACGTGTAACTTATATTTGACTCTGTTGTCATACAACGGGAGAAGGAATTAGTTGGGTTATCATGGTGATGAGTTTCATATAATTTTAACGTTTTTGTAATTTGATTAGTAATGGACTTTGCCTTGACTGTAAAGGGACCTTCAAAATCAGTGCTGGAAATGCAGAATATGACCTGCTTAAAATATTTCCTTCGTGCTCCAAAACACTGACATATTAAAAGCCACAATCTGCCATATAAAGACATTTCATTTTCGTATGATAACATTTTACCTGTCGCACGGCGTTTTTTAATGTATGAAATGAACGCCAGTAGAAAAACGACAGCAGCCAAAGGTCCCCCGGTGTAGTACCAATCCAGTGAGCTGCTGGAGGGAAGTGAGCTGCTGGAGGGAGGTGAGCTGCTGGAGGGAGGTGAGCTGCTGGAGGGAGGTGAGCTGCTGGAGGGAGGTGAGCTGCTGGAGGGAGGTGAGCTGCTGGAGGGAGGTGAGCTGCTGGAAGGAGGTGAGCTGCTGGAGGGAGGTGAGCTGCTGGAGGGAGGTGAGCGGCTGGAGGGAGGTGAGCGGCTGGAGGGAGGTGAGCGGCTGGAAGGAGGTGAGCTGCCGAAGGGAGGTGAACTACTGGAAGGAGGTGAGCTGCTGGAGGGAGGTGAGCTGCTGGAGGGAGTCTCTGAATTTATTGAAATATAATAATAGAAGAAGCTTAGTAGGAAAGTAATTTGCTGGTCGGCATCAAAAATAGAAATTAATATCACCAACTATCCAGATAGAGAGCTAATTTTTTGTTTTGTTCCAGCAAAGGGGCAATTCGTTAGAATGCTATTGTCAAAACTTAAACTGTATTAGAAAAGCTCCAAAAAAAAAACAAAACAAAAAAATATGGAAACGAAACGAATCAAATGCGATCTTTAATAGGAATGCTTCGAACAGGTTGCATTAAATTAAAAAAAAAAGAAAGAAAAGAAAGAAAAGTGTCTCCTTGTGAGTTTCGTGAAGTTTGGAAAGAGTTTCAGAATAAGCTTGAAGCCCTTATGTTTTAAATTTCGTGGTTACTGTTTCAACCGCCCCAGATCCTCCGCTGAACTTCTAAACTAAGGTCTTTATAAAGTTCCGTCTTCTTTTGTTCTTTTTTCTGCACCCTTGTGTCAAAAGGACACAATAAGTGAGTCATGCAACACGAAGTTTCTTTCTTTTTCCGCACTGCAGTAGCGGGTGTGATTTCAAGTAGATGATCGTCCATCTAAATTGTAAAGTACTACAACAACTTCATTAGGTGGTTTCCCATCACTTCCAGAGGAGAGTGGACTTACTACATTTTCTCGAGTGAACTCACAACATTTTCTTAAGCTGACACGGTTAAATTTCTATGGATAAATTGTGGATATCATAGACGGAACTAGAATCAAGAGCTCTTTTGACAATTCAATCGGTAGAGAATACTTCATCGAAAGTCTGTCCGTAAGGTATTTTACAAAAAACAAAAGGTACTTTATTGCCAAGCCTATTTTTAATCCAAGTTTATTTTGAAATTAGTTTTCTTCACTTTTGATAGAGGAAGGTATAAGTTCGTCCAATGTGACATCAAAACATTCTTTTACTTCGTTAAAAGGTTTCCTATCTTAGCCACAGCCCAGGGTTATTTTCACAGGCGGGGTTATTTTCATGCATTTCTTTGCAGTTTTGGTCGCTGATTTTTCAATTTCAATTCGATGAAAAGTTTACATGGATGTTTCTACAAAATTGCTTTCCAACTTCAAGACTAAATACTTAGATAACAATGCACTGATAGCCGCTTGGACATTTTTGCATTTCTAAAAATTTACATGAAATCATGACTTGTCAGTCATTGGTATTTTAGAAGCAGAAAAAAAGGTAATCAAAAAATTTAAACGGACTTATATGCCGTGACAAAATATGATGATATTTATAAAGTCAAAATTGCTCGACGCTCCAAAAAGCAATCAGTTTAAACTGCACAAAAATTAATTACATGTGTCTGATCACGAAATTCATTTACATTTGATATACAAGTTGGCATGCTCTCGCTCTTTAAATGTTATCATCAATTGGGTACTTTTATATTATTTTTAATCAGTTTTGAACTTTGTGGTTTCAAGTCCTTAAATCTGATTTGGTACCAGAGAATCGATTTTTTTTCTCATCTAACTAAAGATTTAAATTGATCCGCGACTTCAGCTCTTTCTATTTATAAATGAAGACCGTACCTTCTGCCACTTCGATCCAGAAAGTTAAGTCTTTGCTCCCCTCGCTATTTTCGGCGCTGCATGTGTATTTGCCAGAGTCTTCCAATCGCGCTTGACGAATCGTGAGAGTGTTGTTGTTAGTGAGATTCACCCCATCCTTAGCCCAGAGTATCTCAGGTGTAGGGAAACCGCTTAAAGAGCAATTGAACTGAAGCGATGAATTATATGTAACCGACTGATTCTTGAGCTCAGGATTAATTCCAGGAGGACCTGGGCATAGAATTAACAAGAAGAATTCAAAAAAGGCAAAAGTGCGAAGAAAAAGACATCAGAAAATGAGAAGAGCAACATAAGGAAACAAAAGTAAGTCAACATTTACCTGTGACTGTCATATGAAAAGCTGATTCATTTTTCCCTTCACTTTTTTTAGCACTGCATGTTATTGACCAGGATTTCCATAACTCACTTGATTAATCGTGAGAATGTTGTTGTTACCAAGATTCAACCCATCCTTAGTCCAGAGTATCTCAGGTGTAGGGAAACCGCTTAAAGAGCATTTAAACTAAGGCGATGATTTAGAGGTAACCGAGTGACTTTGAGCTAAGGGTTAATTTAATTTAAATTCGCTACCGTAAAGATTTTCTCAGCTGACGTTTCGACCGTTAGCCCTTCGTCAGAGCTAACACTCGAGACATCACCTTGGGAACTACTTGCGGTGGCCAATCTATATTACTAACTCGGTTGGTAAAAAAAAAGTGTATTTAAAAAGAGTTTGGAAGTTACTAAAAGGAAAGTTGGGGGATATCTGTGCGGTAATCTCTTTTTCGACCAAAAGATGGGTCCTTTACTCTCTCCTCATTCATAAAACCACTTACATTTACAAGGCCGTGATTCCCAAGTTCTTGAGCAGTTAAATTCTAGAAGTAAGGTTATCCAGATAATCTTTTAAAAGTAATAAACGGTTGGAGATTAAGTCATCTTATTTCTATTAAAGAAAACATCCCTTGAAAATAACTGCTGAAGATTCCTTCCTAACTATCATTTAAATCTATACATAAGAGTTTATCCATTTGAATAAAAGTTTGTAAATGCTGTATACTTTTTTGAAGTTGTAAAACAATAGCGAAAACCCGCCATTGCACTTTTTAATCACAAATTCACCAAAACTCCCTCTTGTTACTTACCGACTCTTTGCCGGTACTGACCGCACTCTTTGCAGTCGCCATTCCAAGACGACCACGCCATACAACCTTTAAAAAAAAACAAGTTGTGCGAAAAGTGTCATATGTCATATTATCATTCTACCTATGCTCTTTACTTCCTTTGCTGCATTAATCTGCATCTTGTCATAAAGGATACCAAAATACGTAACATCGTCTATATCCCCAATTTATAATTTCCGAGGAGACTTCAAGCTAACATCTCTAAGTCACAAAGATTGATGGCTTTGAAGCTTATAAATCACCCGACTTACAGTTCCCTATTTATAGGCATCATTGGTGTTCTCTTAACATCTGTCAGGGATTTATCATGTTATAAGCCGGAGAGAGTGACACTGTTTCTTATTGCTCAAATGGTTGACTGTGCAAAAATGTTAAAAGAAACAAACTAGGATTTTAACGTTTTCAATTTTCAACTTTACTGTACAAGTTCCACCAGTATATGGCAGAAGCCTGAAACGTTGAAATTCAATTATTGTAACAATTAAAAGTTGTATTTCTGTGTAACATCTTTATCCACACATCCACTGATCCACAGAGAAGTGTATCCTATCTGTATCACTCTATTGAGATCCATTCGTTT